CTTTCTTTATCTTTGTTGGTTTAAAGTCTCACCTTGTCACCCTTGGTAGAGTGCCATGGCGTCACAGCTCACATCAACCTCAAACTACTGGGCTCAAGCAATTCTCTTGGCTCAGCCTCCCAAGTAGCTAGGACTACAGGTGCCCACCCCAACACCTGGCTATTTTTTTTGTGACAAGGTTTTGCTCTGGCTCAGACTGGTCTCAAACCTGTGAGCTGGACTAGGCTCTAGAGAGCTCAAAATAATCAACATAAAAAGAGCCAACAATTCCTTATGTCACTGGGCAAGAAAGATAAAAATAACCTTCTCTTAAAAAGATAAATGAATAGCTAAAAAATATATGAAAAAATGCTCATGGTCCCTAATCATCAGAGAAATGCAAATCAAAATCACCCTGAGATATCACCTAACCTCAATAAGAATAGCCTATACCTTTTTTTTAGCCTACAATAGCCTAAAAAAAATCATTTTATCATAAGGACATATGCACTAGACTGTTTATTGTAGTGCAATTTATAATTGCCAAACTACAGCAACCTAAATGCTCACCAATCCAAGAATGGATTAACAAGCTGTGGTATATGTATACCTTGGAATACTATTAAGCCATTAAAAGAGACACATGTAATGCAATCTTCTTAGTAAAGCATCACAAGAATGGAGAAGCAAGAATAGTGTACTCAATTCTAATATGAAGACAATAGGTGATCTAATACATGGTGGGGGGTAGGGGAATGAGGGATCAAGGAGAGGGGAAGTGGGAGGGGGCTGGGGGGGTCACAGTGTATAATACATCTCTTAGGGGCATGACATACTTATAAGAGAGAATTTACCTAACTAATGTAATCAGTATAACCTAATTCTTTGTACCTTCAATGAATCCCAAACAATAAAAAATAAGAAAATTGCCCATTAAAACAACAATAGATAACATACCTACTATTACAACATCAAATATCCAAAACACTGACATCACTAATTGCTGGCAAGAATGTAGGGCAATAGTAATTCACATTCTTTGCTGATGGGAATGCAAAATGGTACAGCTACTCTGGAAGACAGCTTGGCAGTTTTTCACAAAACTAAATACTCTCACCATATGATATAGCAATCATGCTCCTTAGTATTTATCCTAATGAGTTGAAAATCACAGGAAAACCTGCACATGAATGTTTATGGCAGCTTTATTCATAATTGCCCAAACTTGGAAGCATCCCAGATGTCCTTCAGTAGGCGAATGAATAAATAAAATGTAGTACATGTAGACAATGAACTATTATTCAGCACTAAAAAGAAATGAGTGAAAAAGCCTTGAAAATGTGTAAAAGAGGCTCGGCGCCTGTGGCTCAAGTGGCTAAGGCACCAGCCATATACACCTAAGGTGGCGGGTTCGAATCCAGCCCAGGCCCACCAAATAACAATGACGGCTGCAACCAAAAAATAGCCAGGCGTTGTGGCGGGCGCCTGTGGTCCCAGCTACTTGGGAGGCGGAGGCAGGAGACTCGCTTGAACCCAGGAGTTAGAGGTTGCTGTGAGCTGTGATGCCACAGCACTCTACCCAGGGGGGACAGCTTGAGGCTCTGTCTCAAAAAAAGAAAAAGAAAATATGTAGGAGAACACTTTAGAATGTGTAGAATGTGTAGAATGTTTAGAATGTGTAGAATGCACATTACTAAGTGAATGACACTAACCTGAAATAGCTATACAATCAGCCCTCTGTATCTGTGCATTCCATATCTATGGACTTAACCAACCAGAGGTTGAAAATATTCAGGAAAAAAATTCAATAAAAAATTTCAGGCCCTGTGCAGTGGCTCATACCTGTAATTCTAGCACTCTGGGAGGCTGAGGTAGGTGGATTGCCTAAGCTCATGAGTTCAAGAGACCAGCCTGAGCAAGAGTGAAGTCCTGTCTCTAAAAAATAGCTGGGCACTGTATTCCATGTATTATTATTTCAAAGTATTACAGGGGTACAAATTAGAACCTTGCTTGAGTCAAGGTTCTAAGTGTATCCATCACCCACAGAGCATTCATCATACCTATTACATAGGTTTTTGCCCACTCCTTACTCCTCCATCCCCCCTACAATGATACCTTGGAATTGGAACTTAATCTATTCCCAAACCCCATTCAAGTTCCAAGACATTTTTCCCCCTTTAAAACGACAGAAACTGGATTAATCTGTTCTTGGGTCCTACCAACTTGAACTTTCAAAATGATTCTAACAGTAAATATACTGGATTTTAAAGTAAAATATTAACAAATAATAGTACTTAAATAAAAATGTAAATCAATAAAATTAAAAATATAAAAGCCTAAAAATACAAAGGCCTGTTCTGTCAAAATTGAGCACTTGGTTTGAAACATATCCCTCACTGTTCACAAAGTCCTTAAACTGCTTTACAAACTTTTCTGCTGCTTCCAGATTAGAACTGGCAGCCTCTCCAGGCATAACAACACTATGGATAACTGTCTTTTTCTTAAAGTTCTGGAACTACCCCCTCCTGGCTTTAGATTCCTTCTTCTGAGCACTAGTATCATGCATGCCCTTCACTAAATCATTGTGGATTTCTCACAATTATCGTCTCAGAAATCAAATCACCAGCCAGCTGTTTTCATTAATCCAAACTAAGAAGAGTTTTTCCTTCTCTTACATACTTTCAATCTCCTAGAGGTCGTCATTGTAACCCTTTTTGCCACATCAGCTGCTTTGTTAGCTTCTTAATTTTTAAAAATCATATAAATAGTCAATTTAGGCATCCCAAAACATAGAGGGGAGATCAGCTACATGTGTACCACTTTCATGCTTAGAGATAAGATCTTTTTAACTTCAATTATAGCTCTAACAGCTTTCCTCTCTTATTTTCCTCATTGCACTTTTTAGGACCCATGGTGAATACACTTAGTTGTTATTGTATAAAAAAAAACATAAAACAGGCATAAAGCATAAAATCAGCAGCAAAAATCACACAAGATGCTTTCACTACCAACTGAATGACAAAGCATATGGGAAGCCCAAGGGCTGGGGAAATGAACACACAAAAACAAAGGAACAACCTGCTGGGCATCTGGATTCCAAAGCAGCAGTCAGATTTTAGGCAAAATTTGCTCAAATTTTTTGTTTGAATTCTTAAATTGTTGGAGTTCTGTGGCATTCGGATTCCTGGGGCAATACTGTACTTGATTTCTTCTGAGTTTTTCCTCCCTCTGTGCACATGTGTGCTCATCTCCAAAAACACTTGTACACCCATAATATTTTAAAATTTTAAAAATACAATAAAAAATTAAAAATACAGCATAAAACCATTTATATAACATTTACATTGCATTATGTATTATAAATAATCTAGAAGTGATTTAAAGTATGGTGGATATCAGAGACTTGAGCATCCTTGGATTTTGGTATCCACAAGAGGTCCTGGAACAAATCCCCCACAGATACCAAAGGACAATTGTATACAGTATGATTCTAACTACATGGCATCCTGGAAATGGCAAAACTACAGAGTCCATAAAAAGATTAATGGTTGGGAAGAAGGAAAGGATGAATAGGTAGAGCATAAAGGATTTATAGAGCAAACAAACCGTCTGTATAATACACTAAGTTCACATTTAATGTCCTGGATAGGTTCTTGTAAACCACAACTGAAAGCAAAGTAACTTATGATGAACCCAATTTTACCACATGTTAATTGACATAAACAAGAGTTGAATTCCTACAGCACATTTCTGGTCACAAAAACACCACCAAACTTCTAAATAAAGACCCCAAATACTCCTAACATTAAACACTAAAAAATATGTGAGCTACACATTCATTTAAGAAATATTAATAAAAACAAGTAAGATAATTATTTCTCTAATTTTTGGTGAATCAGTGAATGACAGCAGTTGTGGGGGTGGGTTAAGTCAAGCAATAAACGTTTGCAAAGTAAAAACTGTAAGGATTACCTTTTTCCAACAGTTCAAAAACTAACAATAATAAATCTGGTAGGTTTGCTGAATGTTCTCCTACTGCATTGTTTGTCAGGCATTTTTATGATTATTGTGGACTTTACGAATTTTTATTTTATAATAATTTGTACTCATTCATTGATTCATCTTCCAACCTGCTTATTCAGTTCTGTGTTGTGGGTGACCAGTCTATCTGGCAGCCCAGAGCCCAGGGCAAGAACCAACCCAGACAGGATGCCATTCCATTGCAGGGTGCATTCACACCTGCATACACTCAGACGGGACAATGTAGACATGCCCATTCATCTCACGTGCACAGCTTTGGGATGAGGGAGGAAACTGGAGAAAACCTGCAGACACAGGAAGATCATACAAATTCCACAAAGATAGTGGCCTTGGCTGAGAATTGATTTTTTTTCTCATCAACATTAGAACATTGAAGGATGTCATTCAAGGACTGCTATAATGGTGGATACATGTCATTCTCCATTTGTCACAACCCACAGGATAATCCAACACAAACAGAGAACCCTAATGTGAACTATGAGCTTTCAATGATAATATCAATGTACAGTCATCAACTATAACATATATAACAGTCTGGTATGGAATACTGATAGCAGGGGAGGTAGCGGGCAGAATGTATATGGGAACTCTGTAGTTTCTGCTCAATTTTGCTATGAAGCTAAAACTGCCTTAAAAAGCAAAGGTTTTTTTTTTTTTTTTTTTAAGCATTAAGAGCTACACAATGATATATGCCCGAATTCATGATTTTCAGACTTACCTCTTAACCCAATAATGTCAGATTAAGTATTTAGAACCTAAAGTGAAGTCTTAAGAGTCTAAAAAGAGCATATGAGATTAAAACCCTGCTAGGCAACTTCTACTGATCACTTACACTCCTGGTAGAAAAGCTTAAACATCAGTTCTCCAAAGCCTTCTTGGTCATTTGATCAATTGATAAGAATTCTTAAGATAAACTTTGTTCCCTATAAACACCTCACAGCTAAAGGTAAAAAAGATAGTTGGGTAGCTGTGTTTCTTACCTTTCTTGGGGCACTGTACATCATACACTATTTTATTAATGACAAGTTTAAAATCATTCATTAGCAAAATATCCATCAAGGTTGAAGGTGGAATCTCACTGCCATCTGAAAGAAAAAAATATAATGCAAAAATATGTCTTTGTTTAAAACAGTAAGAACCATTTTTCAACTCAGAAAGTTACTAACTCGTCTTTGTAATACACTTACTTTTAGGGGGGCCCCCAACCCAAATACCATTCCCATCAAAAGGAATCTTCTTTGGTCATTTACACACATACACCCCCATTTCACTGAACCAAATGGAACAGTCAGGCACCCTTTCCCACTTTCTGTTAGCTGGGCTGGAATCCAGGCTAATGCCCCCAGTAAAAGTGTAACTGCATGACCATAACGTCATTCAAAGATTCAGGAGTGGTGAGAACCCTTCAGAGCAAAGCAGGACAATGTTTCAGGTGGGGTGAGAGTGTCAGCAACAAAGCCCATCTGGTGGCCCTTGGGCTAACCTGGTCTCTGCCCCTGTCCTCTCCCAGTTTCTGCCCTCTTCCAAGCTTGGCTTCTGTCACTTCCAATATGACAGCCTGTGGACACACTCCTCTGTTTAGCCAGAGTCCATTTCTGTTGCTCAAAGCCAAGGCCCATGGTACATGTAGGCATATATGTAGTAACATTTTAAGAAGCCTGTGTTTCTGTTACTTTTTTTTTTTTTTTTACAGTTTTTGGCTGGGGCTGGGTTTGAACGCGCCATCTCCGGTATATGGGGCCAGCGCCCTACTCCTTTGAGCCACAGGCACTGCCCTGTTACTTTTAATTACTAAAGGTGATTGACTTATGTACACCATGCTGCCACTACATAGGCTCATCTCCCTTTCTAGCTTGGGATAAATGAAAAGAGGCAAAAACTCAAGGAGGTGGGATGGCAGGAGTAGGAATGAACATAATTAAGACCAAGAAATAAATTTTCATTTGTATGGGTTATTTTGTGGGGAGGTAGAGAGAGGTAGAAGAGATTCTAGTAGTAATTTCAAATATAAAAATGTTTCAGAAGAAAATATCTTGGAAATTTAACTGTAATGTGATTTGCACAGCTTCTCATAAAGCCCTGTTTTTGTTATTTATATATATAAAT